ACCCAAACGAAACCCATTAAGAATTACGCGCGCGATGGGTTTTAGGGGAGGGCCTTTTTGGTGAAGATTGTTTGTTTTCTTGCGGGGGAAAGTGTACACGACGAGGAGGCTCAAAACGCCGTCGTCGAAGCATCACTCGTCGCCGCAGCGAGACTCTTCTCTTCTCACACAATAATCACCTGATGTTCGTCTTCTCCTCCTCCAGCTTCAAATACAACGACTTCGTTTCTTCTCTTGCTCTGCAACAACAACACCAACAATGAAGAAGAAGAAGAGAGACGTAAGCAACGGCCACAGCAGCATCAACATGAACAGCGTCATCAACGTCATCCCCCTCAGCGGCGTCGTTTTCAGAACCGCCGTTCTCCGGCGACACCTCCGCCGTATCCGCCACCACGTGTTCCCCCTCGTCTCTGCCGTCTCCGGTTGCCTCCTTCTCCTCCTCGCCGCCTTATCTCTCCTCGCTCCGTCTCCGGTTCTGCATCACCACGATCACCTCTCGCTCTTGCGTCACTACCATTCCTCGGTACGCAAGCACGCTCTTGATGACCTCTCATTTCCGGTTTTCACGGTTTGTAATGATTTTACATTTTAGTGACAATTTGTTGTGGTTTTTGAGCTCAGGATGACAATGGCGTCGTTGAGGCTCGGTCGAACTCGGATGAAACGGCCACGTTTCGTGTTCCGGTACGATATTTAATTTAATGGAGCTCCAATAAAAGATGTTGATTTGTGTACAATTCAATTTAATTTATTTTCGTTTTGATTTTGTTATTTTTAGAAGAGTGGAGGGAGCTCAGGTCGAGATTTATGGAGCACAAGGAAATCGGATATGTTCCATGGTTGCAGCAATGCCGCCGATAACTTTGCAAGTAAAGTATTTAGATATTACTTATTTCATTTCTGCTCTTTTTCCTTTCTCTCTTTCTATCTAATGAAGAATCTTTCTAGTTTCTCTTAACTTGATAATTTCTCAACCCATATTTTTTGAAATTTGATATTCAGACTGAGATTCAATTAAAACTTGATAATTCTTCTTAAACTGGAATATGCATAGCAGCATTGATTGAAGTCTTGTTTTGTTGATTTCATGAATCATGACATCCTAATTGAATCGATTCTATGATCTGTGATGAATTTATAGGAGAATGTAATTTTGATTATTAGGCTCTTAACTTATCTGAGGCTTTTGATTTACAAAACCAATGCCATCAATGTTGCAGCTGCTGATGTGAAAACACATTCGAATCGCTATTTGTTGATTGCTACTAGTGGAGGCTTAAACCAACAAAGAACAGGGGTGAGTTTCTTGATTGAGCTAGAGTTGCATAGTTATCCAATCACCTACCAACTTCGTTTTCTTCTATTCAAGGCTTAACTTATTGTTCTAATTTGTTCATATGAAGGCTTAAAAGAACTGTAGTTTAAAGAACCTTGTGGTTATGCATTCAGATTCCAAATGACTTCTTTATTAGTCTAATTGTGGATGGTTATTTCGTTTTGGCATCTGGTTATAAGTTGCTCTTGTATAGGACTTTGTAACTTTTTCATTCCATGAGTGATAAGACTGGTTTGTAATCATGCATGTTTTTGCTGCTGATTCAGCATCTGATGCTTCCTTCTTGATTCTGTTACAGATAACTGATGCTGTTGTTGCAGCTTATATCTTGAATGCTACTCTTGTTGTTCCCAAGCTGGACCAGAAATCATTTTGGAAGGATTCCAGGTTAGTTTCACCATATCACAGATAAAAAACTACTGTGAAGGTCAATGTAAGCAAAACAGCCAGTGGATTAATATTGTTATTCGGGTATTTGGTGCAGCAACTTTGATGAAATCTTTGATGTAGACTGGTTTATATCATCTCTGTCAAAAGATGTTGGAATCATTAAACAGCTTCCAACAAAGGGAGGAAAACCAATGAGTCCATATAGCATGCGTGTCCCAAGGAAGTGCAATGCAAAATGCTACCAGAATCGTTTAGTGCCTGTTCTTAATAAAAAGCATGTAAGTGTCTTTCAGGAGAACCTACCACTTTTTGTAAGGAATTCGTTAATTATGATATGCTGGTGCATATAACCAAGGAAGAAAAACTTCTGGTGCTTGAATGAGTGCCTTTTCAGGTTATGTAGAATTTACAGTTGTTTTTTTATGCTTTATAATGTGCAGGCTGTTCAGCTCACAAAGTTTGATTACAGGCTTTCAAATAAGTTGGATTCAAATTTACAAAAGCTTAGGTGTAGAGCAAATTATCATGCCTTGAAGTTTACTGACCTTATTAATGAAATGGGGAAAACGTTGGTTGAAAGAATGAGGATGAAAAGCAAGCATTTCATTGCCCTGCATTTGAGGTAAATTGCAAAAAAAATTTAGCTGCTTGAGTATTTTTTTTTTCCTATTGTACATACTAATATACTGTGAGCAAGTTATGCCTTCGATAGAATACTTGCTTGTGCAGATAATTTCTTTGTAGAGTTAATGTGTGTTTTATCTTGTAAAATGATTGAATTTTGTTTTCTTTAGCATGCTATATGTATGGGTGGGTTGTACAGTATTCAAATTTACAAAAGCTTAGGTGTAGAGCAAATTATCATGCCTTGAAGTTTACTGACCTTATTAATGAAATGGGGAAAACGTTGGTTGAAAGAATGAGGATGAAAAGCAAGCATTTCATTGCCCTGCATTTGAGGTAAATTGCAAAAAAAATTTAGCTGCTTGAGTATTTTTTTTTTCCTATTGTACATACTAATATACTGTGAGCAAGTTATGCCTTCGATAGAATACTTGCTTGTGCAGATAATTTCTTTGTAGAGTTAATGTGTGTTTTATCTTGTAAAATGATTGAATATTGTTTTCTTTAGCATGCTATGTGTATGGGTGGGTTGTACAGCACAAACCTCTATTTAGGTTGTTTTGATAGGTGGAATAGGTTTTGTGCTAGAGTTTTCCAAATTCTTTTGGAGTGCATAGGAAAAAGTTTCTGATATTGGTAGGACCTTGTTATAGGTTTGAGCCTGATATGCTTGCATTTTCTGGATGTGATTTTGGTGGAGGATAAAAAGAAAGGAAAGAACTTGGGAAAATTCGGAAAAGGTGGAAAAATTTACATGTAAGGCTTCATTGATGTCTTGAATGATGTCATTCAATAGTGACCTGTTTTATATAATTTGTATCTCTGTATTATAACTACGTTTGATATTTTGGGGTTATATTGCATGCAGGCAAGCAACCCTGACAAGGTACGAAGACCTGGCAGATGCCCGCTAACTCCAGAGGAAGTTGGCCTCATGCTTAGAGCACTGGGTTTTGGAAGTGATATTCACTTGTATGTGGCATCAGGTGAAGTATACGGAGGTGAAGAGACATTGGCACCACTGAAGAAACTTTTCCCGAACTTCCACTCAAAAGAGACTATAGCAAGTAAAGAGGAGTTGACACCATTTTCATCCTTCTCTTCTCGAATGGCAGCACTTGACTTTATTGTTTGTGATGAAAGTGATGTTTTCATCACCAACAACAATGGCAATATGGCTAGAATGTTAGCTGGTCGAAGGTATTAAAACTTGAGTTCAAGGATACATTTCTGTCTTCTGGTGGAAGGGTTTGATTTGATCATGTTTTGGTTTATAACTAGTTTGTTTACTGATGCAGGAGATACTTTGGTCATAAACCAACATTCCGTCCAAATGCTAAGAAACTGTCTCCGTTGTTCATGAATCGTAATAACATGACTTGGGAAGAATTTGCCTCCAAGCTTCGAACTAGTCAAATTGGATTCATGGGAGAGCCAAATGAGATAAAGCCTGGCAGGGGTGAGTTCCATGAAAACCCAGCAGCCTGCATATGTAGTGCATCTAGCACAAGGTCCAACGAAGTTCCAATTCCTCCGAATGTAAGTTATGACAGCCAGAACATGCATAAGGAGGATGACACGAAAAAGGACAGTGGTTACGTGACAGACGAGCAAATAACTGAGGATGAGCAGGATTGGTCTGAGATTGATTATACGGAAATGAATATAAATCATTCTCTGGGTAAAGTGCTGCCTAGTGCAAGAGTTTCAGATCCAGGTCTTCTACTTAAACCTGATGAACCAGAACTCGAAGAGTTCTTTTCAGACTAGACTGAATTAATTAGGAGAAGACTAGACTGGATCTCCACCTCTGCAAGTTAAAAATCAGCAGATTTGTCCAAACGAATAAGTCACCAAAATTCTTTGCTGGTTTGTTTTGATAGGTTACTTGTGCGCGCAAGATTGATTTTGTTACACTGAAGGGTAGTAATAACAAGGACACACAATGTACATAGAAGGCCTTTGTAGCAACAGCATCGGCATTGGAATAACAGAATGCAGGCGTAATATAGCCCTATTCAGATTTTGAAACTTGTAAATGAAGCTACTGGAACATCTTTTGCTGTTTTTTGTTTTGTTTTTCATTATCTCTGATGATTCTTGCCGTAAGGCTGGAATGTTTATATGATTTTTTTTGGGGGTCAAAAGAATGTTTATGTGATCCTTGCTCTTCTTTTGTACCATATATTTTTTTTGTTGTTGAATTTTTTAAGTACGTGTTCTATGATAGGCATTGAACCCAACAGTAGCCCTGCTTTCTTCATCTCCCTCCAAATTTTTAATCTTTTGCAATTGCTTTATGGGGACGTTGATAGAAAACCGTATTTCATTTAAGAAATGCAAACTGAAGAAAGGTGCCAATTTCCCTTTTATGATTAAGAATGAAGCCATTCCAACTTATAGCAGAAATCCAATTGATGCCAAATTTAATACTTCATTTCAAGGAAGAAAATTACTTGGCTTACATGGGGCGTGACAAACTAAACTCAAAAGCATCCTCAGCCAAAAAGCTTTGCGATGGAGAGGGCAAAGGGTTAAAACAAGAAAGACATCCCTAAGCCTAACAAACTCAAAAGCATCCTCAGCCACAAGTTTTGCAAACAGCTCAAATAAAATGAAATTTTGAATTTAAGGATATCGGCTTGATCTACAAAGCTCTCTGCTTTATCATCTTCTCAACATCTTTGCCATACAACAGACATATCCCACACTTTTCTATCAGACGGGGTCCGTAATAGTCATCCCTTATGATGAAGTCAACATTGAGCTCGGTAACAAGTTTGTAAAATGCAGTGGGGCTTTGAGCTCCCTGTACAACTTCTTCAAAGACACTACTATGCCACCACATCCACACCTCATGTGGATCTCCGATTGGTAAGCGATTTTCAGGGGGCGGATGACGTAAAAGATGGTCGACTGCATGGCTTTCACCATTACTAGTTTTGAAGTTGTACTTGCATCCACTAATCAAATACCATATATCATAATAATCTTCTTGGCATGAAACAACAAGAGATAGAGCGAAACCCAAGAAATCTGTGCTAAACCAATCACGAGGAAGCTCAATCTTCATTGAACATCCCTCACTTTTATGGCTGAACCAATTTGGAATTTCATTCCCAAAACATCTAATGGCAACAAAAGATCTCTTGAATAAAGATTCCTGTACCATGGACATCATAATTATTAAACTCGTGAAAAACAAAGAGCAACTTCTTCAACAGAAGTGAGTTCGACAGACAGAGTGTGTGCGTGAGAGAGAGAGAGAGAGAGAGAGAGAGAGAGAGAGAGAGAGAGAGACCTCATTTGAATTATATGATGCTTTTTCAATTTTGTCTTCTTTAAACTTTGACGTCGCAGTTGCCATCCGCATAATTCTGAGCTGTGCATCACCCATTATGTTGCTTAGTGCATTCTCATCCAACCTTCTGCAATTAGAAAATATATGTTTCTCATGACGCCCTCGAGAACATTTATATTTTTCCCAACCTTGTGCGATTGCAGTGCTTGAACTTGACACTGTCTTCAGTGACGTGCAACCTCCTGCGTCAAGACATTGAAGCAATGGGGGGAGCTCTGGTAAAGATTCAAGGCTTTTGCAATGGCTGAGGAACATGTGAGACAGCTGAGCAGCTTGTTTGATGCTTGCAGGTATGCTCTTAATTTTGGTGCTACTCAGATCTAACTCTTGTAATGAGGTTAAGCGAAACAGGTGATCATAGACAACCTCAATGTAATTGCAATCACTGAGATCTAATTTTCGAAGTGCAACCAGATTTCCAATTGATGGGGGTAGCTCTTTAACCGCTGTACCTGATAAATTTAGAAACTCCAGATGTTCCATAGGCTCTAAGATTTTTGGGAAGTATTGAAATTTGGAGCACCAACTGAGATCAATTTCCTTCAGTGATGGGGGGAGCTCTGGTAAAGATTCAAGGCTATTGCAACCACTGAGGAACAGGCGAGACAACTGACCAGCTTGTTTGATGCTTGCAGGTAAGCTCTTAATTTCGGTCCCCTTCAAATCTAACACTTGTAATGAGGTTAAGCAAAATAACTCATCGGGGACAACCTCAAGGTTCTTGCAGTTGTGGAGATCTAATTCTCGAAGCACAACTAGATTTCTAATTGATGGGGGTATCTCTTTAACCGCTGTACCTGATAAATTTAGAAACTCTAGATATTCCATAACCTCCGAGATTTCTGGGAAGTTTTGAAAGTTAGAACAATCCTCGAGATTAAGTCTCTTCAAAGATTTCAACTTCCAAATGTTTGTTGGGAGACTCACAAGACTTTCGCAACGACGCAGTTCAATTGCAGTGAGACCAATGACAGACTCTATTGAAGCATTCCTCAATTCTTTTATTGTTGAATAACTCAACTGTAGCTTTGTTGTATCCCTGGGAAGCTCCCAAAACTCGCAAAGAGAATTGCAGTAATCTAGACCAAGAGAGAGTTTCAGCTTACAAGTGTTGCTTGGAAGACTCTTAAGGTGTCCACAATATCTAATATCTAAGTGAGATATTTTTTCGTGAGACCAAACTGATGAAGGCAATTCCTCTATTGCTGTCCAAGACAAATCTAAGAATTCAAGATTGCATGGCATCTCGGGGAGATTTTTGAGATTTGTGCACTGCCCAAGGTCAAGATAAGTAAGCTTGCCAAGATGTTGAAAATATGAAGGAATTTCAACCAAACGTCCACACCTTTTCAGATCTATATGTTTAATTTGCAGACTCCGAGAGAGATCTGGGACTTTAGTTAGATACATGCAGCCTTCAAGATTGATCCATTTCAAGTTCACAGGAGGACTCTGTAACAAATTAAACAAAAATTAATAACTTAGCTTGCAGATTATTACTTTCTAGGCCAAATGTTACAAGAACTCAAATAAGCATATATAATGTACCTGGTCTTCATTCCAAAGTTGCCCCACAACTTTGCTGGACGGCATTTCGAGGACAACAAGATTTTGAGCAGAAAATTTTGATGGCAAAGATTTCAAAGGATATTCGCACCAGCGAAGATATTTAAGAGAATTGGGAAGACCAGGAGAACCAATTAATGCAGGTAAATCATAATAGAAGGGCCCACGATTATCGACACAATTATCGACACATAGCCATCTCAGTTGTTGATGCATCTTTTCGAAATTTGCATATTCCATCTCACACCAGTAAAGCCAGTGAATGGATATGGCTTGAACATGTCCATAGCTCTGACAATCAAGAGCAAAAATATAAATGTAAAATATCATATACAAAAAAAGTTTAATCAAAATTACATTTGTAGGAATAATCTGACTTGTTTATTGTAAATGTGAATAATTAAACTACCTGGTTATTTGTCAATACTTGATGGACATCCTTTAAAATGAACAACCTGTTGCCTCGTTCTCGAGCAATTGCACAACCCATTTCTTGCACCAAATCATGCATCTCTATCCGTGCTTCTAACCAATGTTTTGAAAGGCGAGGCGCAGATACAAAGCGTTTTTATCCGCGCTATGCGAGGCGTAAGCCTTGAAGCGTTGAGGCGTAAGCCTTTTGAACATTTATTTATTCTAATACACAATTAAATTATACTACTAATTATTATTGAACCTTGATATAATGTATTAAGTATAATCAAATATAAGTACTAATGGTCTCATTCATGCATAATAATCAATCCCTAAATCTAAAATATTTATTCAACATCAAAACAAAAATACAATTCAGTTTATATATTAGGGTTATACTATAAATAAATAAATATATATATATATATCCACGTTAATATATTAATTTAGGAAGAAAAAAAAAAGAAAAAAAGGGTAAGTAGTGTTTCAGTGAAAAAGGGTTAGTGGTGTTTCAGTGGAGGCGTTAAGCATGTTGGTTGTTAAAAACAAAAAATCATGATTTAAAAATAATAAAAAAAGGCATGCTGAACGTCAGTTTCTTTAAGTAACCTCAGTGCTAAACGTGCGTTTTATGAACTATATGAAACGAAGTCGTTTCATTGCCAACGAACCCTTAAAAAACACGCTTGGTCATCTTCTTCCTCTCGCAGCCGCTTGCAGAACAGCGGCCCTTCGTCCGCCTCGCCACACGTTGCCACGCCTCTCCATGCCTCGCGGCGCTAAACGTGCAACCTGCTAAATAGATGAACGCTTCAGGCGATTTCCTTCCGCCTTGCTCCGACGCGCGCTCCGACGTGCGCTTAGGCATGCTTTTGAAAACACTGCTTCTAACTGCTCATCTACCGATGTGTTGGAATATGAAATTGATATGAGAGACCTATCAATAAGATCATTGATTCCTGCTTCCCCGTAGAAATCACAACTATCTAAACATTCTTTTACATAATTCCTCTCACAGCCTTTATAAAAACATGCTATTTCAAGAAATATCTCCGTCTCATGTTGTCCTAATCCATCGTAACTTATTCTCAACACTCGATCGATTTCTTTGTTTGGATATTCTCTCACTTTTTTCCATTCATCTTCCCACTGTTGTTTGCTCTTGCAACGACGGAATGAGGACCCTATAACTTTAAGAGCTAATGGAATGCCCTTAATATAATCCACCACCTGTCTTGACAACTCAGTGTATTCTGTTGTTGTAGACTTATTTCCGAAAGCATGCGAATGAAAGAGCTGAAGAGCTTCTTCGAGACTTAATCCCTCAACGCTGAATATCTTCGCAGGGTCAACTTTTTGCTCAAGTAGGCCTTTATCTCTAGCAGTTATAATGATTCGACTTCCTTGGCAAAACCGATCATCATCACCAACAAGAACTTCTAGTTGTTTTTCAGCATTCACATCATCAAGAACAATGAGCGCCTTTGTATTCCTGAGCCTATCTTGAATATGACGTGGTATAGATGGAGTTTTGATATTTACATCTTTTTGCTTTAATATCTCACCAACAAGTTTATTACGCAACTGAAGTAGTCCATTCGTTTGTTCTGAGTTCTCCCTGACATTCGCAAGAAAACAAGCAGCTTCAAATTTAGAGGAGTGCCTGTGAAATACAGCATCAGCAAGGGTGGTCTTGCCAATACCACCCATGCCCCAAATACCTACACAGCAAACACCTGGTGAATCAAAGCATAATAACGACTCAATTTCTTCAATTTTCTTTTCAATTCCAAGCAGACCCTTTAAATCACTTGACGATTCGCGATTCAATTTGGTCAAAACATCTTGAGCAACTTCCTCAACGAAATCGGCCTCCGTCCTGGTATATATCATTATTAAAGACAATAGTAAGTATGAATCAAATGGTTACAAGTACAAATTGACACAAGCTAGAGATTTAGTATACCCTGTTTTACTTGAATCATGAAACCCTGACATATTGGCTGCTTCCTCCAAAGCTACCTTCCACTTGAGAACCGAATCATCCATACTGTCCTTGAAATGTTCTTCAAGTTTAGCAAATGCAAGTGCATAAGTTCCCTGCTGTTTTCGTACATCTGATGGATCTATGCTATAAAAAATGGGTATAACAATCTGTCCATAGCTTTTCTTGCATCCAAGTATATGCACAAGTTCTTTCAAACACCATGTGGAAGAAGCATAGTCTTTTGAGAAAACGACTAGTGCAATTTTCGATTTCTCGATTGCTTCCAGAAGGGCAGGTCCAATGTCGTCTCCTTTCTCAAGTCTGTAATCTCTGTAGGTCTCAATGTTCTTCCGACGTAAGGCTGCGTGAAGATGGCTGGTAAAAGTATCGCGTGTGTCTTCACCTCTGAAACTAAGAAACACATCGTACTTTTCTCGAAGAGGAGCAGGAAAAGGAAGAGAAGAAGAAGAAGAAGAATCCATATCCCTATCCAAAACCTGCAAACCTGTCAAAACATGCATATATACAAATAACGCTAGGTCCAAAAAATCTCCACAAACAAGTATAAGAGAGCAAATAATTAAGTTAGAGACAGACAGTACCTCCAGATGAAGAAAGAAGCTGCAGAGATATTAATCGCCTTATCAGCAAATATTAAGAAAGAAATAATAGTATGGTTATGAAGACCTCAGGATGACATCTAGAAAGAAGTGGCTGAGTTCAACTAAGGCTGATCCAGGTTCTTATTTTAGTTTTAGTAATTTATTTCTATGTTAATTGAGGAAAGAAGATTCTTATGTCAAAAATATATATGAACTTGATTATTTGAGGATGTTTTGTAATTTGTCCTTATTTTAAAAACAACTTGCTATTAACAAAAATGAATAAATAAATAAATAAAACCTGTGAAAAAGATGTGTTGGGTGACTCTTATGTCGTCTTGCTCTGGATTCCATTACCTACCATACATATTTTTATATTGCAAAGATCAAGATAGTCCACGCGTTTAAATTTCTTTAATTCCGCCAGTATAGACATTACCATCCAGTTGCAATAATTAATGTTTATAAGATGATGATTGCATATATTAAACAACCAAGTAGATATATATTTCTATGATTAGGTAGATAGGGAAGGGAAATTTGTCCCTAGTTATGGTTTCTTGTGTTTGGTTGTGAATATCTATCTTGATGTTAGTACAAAGTGTGAAAATTACATTTAAAGTTGACCCAGAATTTCCATGATAAGCCAATCTTTCATTGACTTTGTTTTTGCACACTGAAGAATATAGATGTTGTTTTCCAACTTGAAGGATTAAGGTGGACTATTCATATGAGGGTCCAATTAAGCTATATCATGTTTTAGCAATCGTACTAAAAGCAGAACGAAAAAACAATGGAAATTATGAAAAGAAAAACGAAAGCACCCGAGGGTCCAATTAAGCTGTTTAGAAAGAGAGAATAGAAAGCAATTGCTCTAGTTGATATATGCACGAAGCTACAAAACAATTGCTACAAAACGATCCAGGAAAAAGACAAGTTTGTATGTGATATTGAGTCCATTTGGTCATCATTCACATTAATAGCGAGTATCATTTTAGGTTCGTGTCAAGTATTACAAATGTAGGAATTCCTCCAAGTTTATAAATTTTTCAGAATACTCTCTCTTTTTTTTTCTTTTTTTTTTCATTCAAAAAAAGTTTCAGATAAACAAACTGAAATTTACAAATTCGTGTTAGTTTCGAATCGTGTCGTCATGTAAAAGTTGTCAAACCTCAAACATCTAACATCATTGCGTGTCATTGCGATGAGGATAATTTAGGATGATGAAGATTCAAGAACGCCACTACGCACACCCCTATCAATTTTCACTTTCATCACAATGTCCTCGTCCATTTCTGCATGACTGGCCACACAACCCAACTTTAAATGTTATGGAAAGAGAAGCAGAGTTGGTTGATAAGCTAGATCATATTGTAATTAGTTTAGCAATTGTTCTAGCTGAGCTGACTTGACTATATGCACAAAGGTACAAAACGATCCAGGAAAATAAGCATTTATAATGGGTTCCTTAAATTATATTTTTAGACAAATTTTAGAGAGGAATTGGAAAAATATCACTTAAATACCTCCTCTACCATCACCATCACCATCACCACCACCACAACCACCACCTCCACCTTCATCACCACCGCTACTACCTCCACCTCCACCGCCTCTTCCCTTGCATTCTAGAATATGCACAAGTTCATCCATACACCAAGTGGAAGAAGCATAGTTTTTTGAGAAAATGATTATCGAAAGCTTTGATTTCTCTATTGCTTCGAGAAGGGTAGGTGCAATTTCATCTCCTCTCTCGAGATTGTTATCCATATAAGTCTGAATTTTCTTCCCAAGCAAAGCAGCATGAAGATGGCTGGTGAACGTATAGCGGGTGTCCTCACCTCTGAAACTTAGAAACACATCATACTTTTCATCCATATAACCTGTGCAAACCCACCCACAAGTCAAAATATGCATGCCAGGGCTACCTATGAATATAAATCTAGTCATTATTCAAAAGAAAATGAAATTAACAACGTCAAGTAAGCTAAACATTGGGTGTATATATTCAGAATGAGAGATGCGACACTAGAAAATCTTTCTGCAATAGAAATATAAGAGATTTGGACCACGTACAGTAATTAATAATGAAGTTAGAGACTGCTATGGTGTTTTTATTATTGTAGAGAATTCTCCAAGGGTAAGTCAGTGGGATTACCTCCAGCGCGAGAAAGAAGTTGCACCTCAGAAATCAGAATCGCGTTGAGCAAGAGATATCAGCATTGCAGAGTGACTGACTTAATTACTAGCAAGTGTTGACTCGTCGTATTGACCCAAATTAAATCCCTTTGTATTGTGTTTGTGTGGTTTGCGTTGCGACGTCTCTTAAGCTTTGCTGACTGACTTGAGCCTTTAGTTTGTAGCTCGTCTTGATGCACTCAGTCCTACACGGTTTGGGAGATAAGAAAGCTACTGGTTAGTCAATCGAGCAGAGAGCGCAGCCACTTGATTGTTATTTTTTGGTCAAGACGAAAAAGAAAATTCAAATGGGTCCAATTAATTTTGCAAGCCACTTTGAAAGTTCGCCACACGCGTTCAATTTCTTATGTGAACAAACTTCACGAGAATTCCAACTTTGACTCCTTCAACTTAAAGAGCTTGTGATTTTTAACTGAGAGAAAAAAAGATGTAAGTTTCTGACCAAAAAAAAGAAGAAGTTGTAAGTTGCAGTAGAAAACAAAAGAAAAAGAAAAGATAATTGTGACATGACATTTCCTGATGCGAAGAAATTTCTTCATCCAGGTCACAACAGTTCTGGTCTTCCAAATTGAAGAGCACGCCTGCTCTATTTATAAAGAAATAGAAAGCAAAATAAATCAAAATCGGAGTTCATAAGCAAAATGAAATGAACAGTCAAAAAGAAAATTGCAATTGTTAGCTTCGTTACATATTAAGTATAAGGTACAAGTTTGAGCTGAATAATTTTTCGTAGGATTTGTTTGGGAATACTTAGTTTTTTGTGGGTATTTTGTTTTTTCTCTTTGGGGGGGGGGGGGTGTGGGTTAGGGATATGGAACAAAAAAAAAAACGAATAAAATACATACGTGTTTTATTTCGGCAAAATTTTGGCGAGATACAACTGAAGAATTTGGGCACTATATAATAATTTAATATATATTTTTGTTGTTGAATAATATGTGAAAATTACTGTTATAAGACGTGAATTTTGTCTGTATCATTCAAAATTTTATAAATAAAAAAAAGGAAAATGCTAGGCTTACCACATTGTGTACCACATATCTAATAAAGATGGAGCCCACAAATACATAAAAATGTGGTAAGTCTAGCATTACCAAAAAAAAAAAAACAAAAAACAAAGAACCAGTGAAATACAACATCATCAAGGGTAGTCTTGCCAATACTACCCATGCCACCTACAAAGCAAACACCTGGTGAATCAAAGCATAATAAAAACTCTATTTCCTTAATTTTCCTTTTAATTCCAACAGGCCTTTTAAATCACTTGACAATTCGCGATTCAATTTGGTAAAAAATATCTTCCTCCAAAGCATCCCTCTAGTTGGCCACCTCATCCATATTGCCCTTAAAACACTTCTTAAGTTGAAGGCCTTTAAGGGCAGTGCTGGTGGCCTATGCCTCATGTGGCGGGAGGAAGTAAATATTCTCATTAAATCTTCCTTTCTCAATCATATTGATGCTGAGTGTGATTCTGGTGACTCGGAAGGAAAGTGGAGACTGACCGAATTCTACGGCAGCCCCCAAGTGACTGAACGTATTCTCTTGGAATATCCTGTCTCTTTTGGGCCAGCAACCCTCCTTACTTTACCAAATTGTGTCTCGTCCAAATGGAATTTAATTATAGCCGTGGTCTCAAGCTCAATTGTAGCAATTTAATTCTTGAGTTCAATGAAGAAAATTACATGGCTTACATGGGGCGTGACCGTGAGAAACTAAACTCAAAAGCATCCTCAGCCACAAGTCTTGCAAACAGCTCAAATAAAATGAAAATTTGAATTTAGGGATATCTGCTTGATCTACAAAGCCCTCTGCTTTATCATCTCAACATCTTTGCCATACAACAGACATATCCCACACTTTTCCACCTCCGGACGGGAGTAGCTGCTACCATAACTCCTTACGGTGAAGTCAAGATTGACCTCAGTAACAAGTTTGTAAAACGCAGTGGGGCTTTGAGCTTCCTCTACAACTTCAAAGACATTATCATACCACCAGACAAACACCTCATCACAAGAAAATAACTCGCCATTTTTCGGCTCCAGACTACACAAAGGATGGTTGATTATAAGGCTTTCACCATCACTAGTTTTGAAGTTGTACTTGCATCCAATATTCATACAATGTGTATCACCAACAACAACAAGAGATAGAGCGAAACCCAAGAAATCTGTGCTAAACCAATCAGGAGGAAGCACAATCTTTATTGAACATCCCTCACTTTTATGGCTGAACCATTTTGGAATTTCATTCCCAGAACATCTAATGCCAACGAAAGATTCCTGTACCATGGATATGGACATCATAGTTATTAAACTCGTGAAAAAGAAAAGCAACTACTTCAACGCGAGAGAGAGAGAGAGAGAGAGAGAGAGAGAGAGAGAGAGAGAGACCTCATCTGAATCATATGATGCTTCTTCAATTATGTCTTCCTTAAACTTTGACGACGCAGTTGCCATTCGCATAATTTTGAGCTGTGCATCACCCATTATGTTGCTTCGTGCATTCTCATCCAACCTTCTGCAATCAGAAAATATATGTTTCTCATGAAGCCATTGAGAAAATTGATATTTTTCCCAACCTTGTGCGAGTGCAGTGCTTGAACTTGACACTGTCTTCAGTGACGTGCAACCATTTGCTTCAAGACGTTGCAGCGATGGGGGGAGCTCTGGTAAAGATTCAAGGCTCTTGCAATCGTTGAGGAACAGGCGAGACAGTTTAGCAGCTTGTTTAACGCTTGCAGGTATGCTCTTAATTTCAGTCGAACTCAGATCTAACTCTTCTAACGAGGTTAAGCAAAAGAGGTCATCGGGGACAACCTCAAGGTTCTTGCAGAAGCAGAGATCTAATTCTCGAAGCACAACCAGATTTCTAATTGATGGGGGTAGCTCTTTAACCGCTGTACCTGTTAAATTTAGAAACCCCAGATGTTCCATAGGCTTTAAGATTCCTGGGAAGTATTGAAATTTGGAGCACCAACTGAGATCAATGCTCTCCAGACATTTCTTATTCGTTGGCAATACTTTTATATGTTTCCCTTGAAGCCCTCGAGAAAATCTACATTTGTCACTACCAATTGTCTTCAGTGATGGGGGGAGCTCTGGTAAAGATTCAAGGCTCTTGCAATGGTTGAGGAACAGGTTAGACAGCTGAGCAGCTTGTTTGATGCTTGCAGGCAAGCTCTTAATTTTGGTAAAACTCAAATTTAACACTTGTAATGAGGTTAAGCAAAAGAGCTCATCGGGGACAACCTCAAGGTTCTTGCAGTTGTGGAGATGTAATTCTTGAAGCGCAACTAGATTTCTAATTGATGGGGGTAGCTCTTTAACCGATGTACCTGTTAAATTTAGAAACTCCAGATGTTCCATAGGCTCTAAGATTTCTGGGAAGTATTGAAAATTGGAGCACCAACTGAGATCTATGCTCTCCAGAGATTTCAACTTCCAAATGTTCGTTGGGAGACTCACAAAACTTTCGCAATTGATTAGTTTAATTGCAGTGAGACCAACGGCAGACACTATTGATGCATTCCTCAATTCTTTTATTGTTGATCTACTCAACGCTAGCTCTGTTGTATCCCTGGGAAGCTCCCAAAACTCGCAAAGAGATATGCAGCGCACTAGACTAAGAGAGAATTTCAGCTTACAAGTGTTGCTTGGAAGACTCTTAAGGTGTTCACAATATGCAATATTTAAGTCAGATATTTTTTCGTGAGACCAAACTGATGAAGGCAATTCCTCTATTGCTGTCCCATATAAATTTAAGAATTCAAGATTGCATGGCATCTCGGGAAGATTTTTGAGATTTGTGCATTGCTCAAGGTCAAGATAAGTAAGCTTGCGAAGACGTTGAAAATACGAAGGAATTTCAACCAAACTTCCACAGCTACTCAGATCTATATGTTCAATTTTTAGACTCTGAGAGAGATCTGGGACTTTAGTTATATTGCAGTCACTAAGATTGATCCATTTCAAGTTCACAGGACTCTGTAACAAATTAAACAAGAATTAATAACTTATTAGCTTGTAGATTATTACTTTTTAAATCACATGTTATACAAGAACTAAAATAAGCATATATAATATACCTGGTCTTCATTCCAAAGTTGCCCCCCAACATTGCTGTACGACATTTCAAGGACAACAAGATTTTGAGCAGAAAATTTTGATGGCAAAGATTTCAAAGGATATCCTCTCAAGTGAAGATATCTAAGAGAATTGGGAAGACCTAGAGAACCAATTAATGGAGTTGCGAGGTAGTGAAGAAAATCGACACGTAGCCATCTCAGTTGATGCATCTTTTCGAAGTTTGCATATTCCATCTCAAGCCAATCAAAGGATATGGCTTGAACATGTCCATCGCTCTGACAATCAAGAGCAACAATATAAATGTAAAATATAATATACAAAAAAAGTTTAATCAAAATTACATTTGTAGGAATAATCTGACTTGTTTATTGAAAATGTGAATAATTAAACTACCTGGTTATTTGTCAATACTTGATAGACATCCTCTTCAATGAATAACCTACTGCCTTGTTCTCGAGCAATTGCCCTACCCATTTCTTGCACCAAATCATGCATCTCTATCTTACCTTTTGACCATCCTTCTTTTGAAATTGATATGAGAGACCTATCAATAAGGTAATTGATTCCTATTTCCCCAAAGAAATCACAACTATCTAACATTCTTTCTACATCATTCCTCATATAGCCTTTATGAAAACATGCTATATCAAGAAATATGTCTTTCTCATTTTTTCCTAATCCATCGTAACTTATTCTCAACACTTGATCGATTTCTTCATTTGGAAATTGTTTCACTTTTTTCCATTGAACTTCCCACTCTTGTTTGCTCTTGCAAAGATGGAATGAGGACCCCATAACTTTAAGAGCTAATGGAATGCCCTTAATATAATCCACCACCACTCTTGACAACTCAGTGTAATCTGTTGTCGGAGACTTATTTCCAAAAGCATGCGAATGAAAGAGCTGAAGAGCTTCTTCGGCACCTAATCCCTCAACGCTGAATATCTTCGCAGGGTCAACTTTTTGCTCAAGTAGGCCTTTATCTCTAGCAGTTATAATGATTCGACTTCCTTGGCAAAACCGATCATCATCACCAACAAGAACTTCTAGTTGTTTTTCAGCATTCACATCATCAAGAACAATGAGCGCCTTTGTACGCCTGAACCTGTCTTGAATATGAGGTGGTATAGACGGAGTGTCGATATTTACATCTTTTTGCTTTAATATCTCACCAACAAGTTTATTACGCAACTGAAGTAGTCCATTCGTTTGTTCTGAGTTCTCCCTGACATTCGCAAGAAAACAAGCAGCTTCAAATTTAGAGGAGTGCCTGTGAAATACAGCATCAGCAAGGGTGGTCTTGCCAATACCACCCATGCCCCAAATACCTACACAGCAAACACCTGGTGAATCAAAGCATAATAACGACTCAATTTCTTCAATTTTCTTTTCAATTCCAAGCAGACCCTTTAAATCACTTGACGATTCGCGATTCAATTTGGTCAAAACATCTTGAGCAACTTCCTCAACGAAATCGGCCTCCGTCCTGGTATATATCATTATTAAAGACAATAGTAAGTATGAATCAAATGGTTACAAGTACAAATTGACACAAGCTAGAGATTTAGTATACCCTGTTTTACTTGAATCATGAAACCCTGACATATTGGCTGCTTCCTCCAAAGCTACCTTCCACTTGAGAACCGAATCATCCATACTGTCCTTGAAATGTTCTTCAAGTTTAGCAAATGCAAGTGCATAAGTTCCCTGCTGTTTTCGTACATCTGATGGATCTATGCTATAAAAAATGGGTATAACAATCTGTCCATAGCTTTTCTTGCATCCAAGTATATGCACAAGTTCTTTCAAACACCATGTGGAAGAAGCATAGTCTTTTGAGAAAATGACTATTGCAATTTTCGATTTCTCGATTGCTTCCAGAAGGGCAGGTCCAATGTCGTCTCCTTTCTCAAGTCTGTAATCTATGTAGGTCTCAATGTTCTTCCGACGTAAGGCCGCGTGAAGATGGCTGGTAAAAGTATCGCGTGTGTCTTCACCTCTGAAACTAAGAAACACATCGTACTTTTCTCGAAGAGGAGCAGGAAAAGGAAGAGAAGAAGAAGAAGAAGAATCCATATCCCTATCCAAAACCTGCAAACCTGTCAAAACATGCATATATACAAATAACGCTAGGTCCAAAAAATCTCCACAAACAAGTATAAGAGAGCAAATAATTAAGTTAGAGACAGACAGTACCTCCAGATGAAGAAAGAAGCTGCAGAGATATTAATCGCCTTATCAGCAAATATTAAGACAGAAATAATAGTATGATTATGAAGACCTGAGGATGACATCTAGAAAGAAGTGGCTGAGTTCAACTAAGGCTGATCCAGGTTCTTATTTTAGTTTTAGTAATTTATTTCTATGTTAATTGAGGAAAGAAGATTCTTATGTCAAAAATATATATGAACTTGATAATTTGAGGATGTTTTGTAATTTGTCCTTATTTTAAAAACAACTTGCTATTAACAAAAATGAATAAATAAATAAAACCTGTGAAAAAGATGTGTTGGGTGACTCTTATGTCGTCTTGCTTTGGATTCCATTACCTACCATACATTTTTTATATTGCACAGATCAAGATATAGTCTACGTGTTTACATTTCTTTAATTTCCGCCAGTATAGACATTACCGTCCAGTTGCAATAATTAATGTTTATAAGATGATGACTGCATAATTAAACAACCAAGTAGACAGTGAAGGCGCAGAAACAACCAAATGAAATCTATTTTATTCATTGCAGAAACGATTACCAGACTTTGTAATGTATCCAGTATTTTTATGTTTAGGTAGATAAGGAAGGGAAATTTGCTCTTATACAATGGGACAAGCATTCTGAAATATCATTCAGTTACTTGACAGACACAGGGATGCATACACCCCAGAAAAGGTGTATGCATAGACATGGAGAATTGTGCATGTGCTTTGAAGGGAATCTAGCCAGGGACATGATTTCATAGAATAATTATAATTATGGTTTCTTGTGTTTGGTTGTGAATATCTATCTTGATGTTAGTACAAAGTGAAAAAGTTTTTCTTTTCTTTTTTCACTTCTCATTGGGCAGTAGTATGCGGTACCTATATTAGAAGAGAAATCAGTTTGGTGAACAGATGCCCCCACAAGAATTGAATACCCAGGTTGACTATGCTAGATTGTTTCCTTGATTGATTGAATACATTTTATACTACCTCTCCTCGTGGTGTCTGAATACATTCATTTTGTATGAGGATGTAGCTCGCCTGACCTTCGTAGCTTTCAGAAATGAGAAAGTCAATAGGAAGCTTCTCACATTTGCTGGCCCTGGCACACGGACAACCCAAGAGGCGAGTTTACCACCATCAGACGGTTCATTGTTCTTTCCTCCTCTAATTGTACAACATAGAATTGAAACCTCTAATTTAAAGTTTAAATTAATTTTTTTTGGGTCTGAAAAAAAAAACAGTGGATGTTGAGCTGTCTGATTACAGCACAATAAGACAACCGAGTAAATTTTTATGTTCCCATACTTGGTGGAAAAAAGTGTGAAAATTACATTTAAAGTTGACCCAGAATTTCCATGATAAGCCAATCTTTCATTGACTTTGTTTTTGCACACTGAAGAATATAGATGTTTTCCAACTCGAAGGATTAAGGTGGACTATTCATATGAGGGTCCAATTAAGCTATATCATGTTTTAGCAATCGTACTAAAAGCAGAACAAAAAACCAATGGAAATTATGAAAAGAAAAACGAAAGCACCCGAGGGTCCAATTAAGCTGTTTAGAAAGAGAGAGAATAGAAAGCAATTGCTCTAGTTGACAAAAGCACCCTTGACTATATGCACGAAGCTACAAAACAATTGCTACAAAACGATCTAGGAAAAAGACAAGTGAAATAATTAGGCAAGCACTGTCGGTGGACAAAAATTCAAGCACCTTCTCGTATTGCTTTGGTTGGTTTGCTAATTGCAGACAATGAACCACCCCAAGCGACAATCAAAGAGGTTCTTCGTGTTGCTTGGAACAATATGGGGGCTGTAAAGGTTGTTAAAGCAAAGGCAAATGTCTATTCCATAACAGTAGGAGACGAGAAGGTTGCTCGGCGTCTGGTGGATGGGAACCCATGGTTTGTGAAGGGCCATACATTCACCACCATGCTATGGCCACTTTGTCATTCCTTGGATGATATTGCAGCGGATAGGGCAGTGTACTGCGTTCAAGCACATGGAATCTCTGTACTTCAAAGAATGCCAGAGTGCTAGGTGCGAGAGTTGGAGAGGTTATGGAAGTTGAAGACATTGATACGGTTGGATTTAGAGGGTTCATGAGAATAAGAGTGGACCTTGATGCATCTAAACCTCTATCTCCTGGATTTACTATGCCTTGCCCAGTTAATGGGAAGCGTCTCATTAGACTACGATATGAGGGTCTAAGGGACTTCTGTTACTCATGTGGTAAGCTGGGCCATTCAAGGGGATGCCAAAAAGCTCCTGACCCAAGACTTAGAGCAGAAAACTTGCAACACGGAGATTGGTTGAGAGTGGCTCCGGTCTCTAGAGCGTCGGCGTCCCTTTTTCCAGGCAAATCTGAGGAAAAAAGACTGGAATCTAGAGCCCAACTTGCCTGGAATGGACAGCCGCAATTCTCCTCTAGTGAGAAAAACGGCATCTCCGGCAACAATTGGGTTGAGCATAATGGGACAAAGTTGAAAGTCAAGGGAACATCTGTGGTTGCAGGGGGCTCAACGACAATACAAACAGCTGAAATGGATGCAGGGGGTTCAGCGACAATACGGACATCTGCTACGTTTCAGTCTGTGGCTTTGCAACGTTGTACTGACAACACTAATATGCCAAAACACAGAGCCACGCTTGATGACTATCGAGGGTTGCGGGACCCTGAGAGTTTTAGCACTCAGGATTTTAACGGGACTCTTACTGTGGCTATGAATGGGCTTGCGAAGGATCGAGATTTGTGTGACCCAATAAGGGGTCCACCTTGGGCCCTAACTTCAGCAACTTGGGCCAATATTACTGCAAACATGGAGATTGGTGAGGGGTTTAACTCAGTGATAAAGCATGGGGACTGGGCTAAACCCAATGTGCCATTTCAGCAAAATATTGGAAATGGGCCTATAATTGAAGAAGTTGAATCTGGTGTGCTTGACCAGGTTGTGCAAGAAACGCAAAAACAGAGAAAAGGCAAGAAGATTTATACTGAAGACGAGGAGGGTTCAATCTTACATAATCCTCCTAAGAAAGCTCGCCTTTCTACTAGTCCAGGCCATGGATGCTCTCTTCGATTGTCCAACAGAGGGGGAAGAGGGCGTAGAGGTAGGCAAAGAGGTGGTCGGATCAATAGGAATGCTGCTGTACAAAGAGGGGAATCAGAATTTTGAAGCAAGACAAATAACAATCTTTGTGAAGTGGTTGTCAGTCCTTCTAAAGAGTTGGAAGAGATGGAAAGAAAGCGCAAGGCTAAGGGTGTGGAGGATACTGTCCCCCTCCAGGGTTGTGGTGGCTGGCCCAAAACAACCACAAGGGAATCATGATACAACTTGCTTGGAACTGTCAAGGGTTGGGGAACCCCTTGACAGTTATGTATTTGAAGGAACTGTTACGTTCCAAAAATCCCACGGTGGTGTTTTTGATGGAAACTAAGCAAAACCATCACCGGAATGTTCAGTTTCGTAGACAGTGTGGTTACCATAACGGAGTGACTGTCGATCCAATTGGTCTTGCTGGAGGTTTAAGTGTTTGGTGGAAGACGGGTGTGGATGTTCAAATTAATGACACTTCCCGTTCTTGGATTGATGCTACGGTGAAAATAGAAAATGAGAAAATTCATTGCAGATGCACATGGTTTTATGGTTAGGGATATGGAACGGAAAGAATACGAATAAAATACATGTGTTTTATTCGACAAAATTTTAGCGAGATACAACTGAAGAATTCGGCCACTAGTATATAATAATTTAATATATATTTTTTTTGTTGAATAATATGTGAAAATTACTGGTATAAGACGTGAATTTTGTCTGTATCATTCAAAATTTTATAAAAAAAAGGAAAATGCTAGGCTTACCACATTGTGTACCATATCTCTAATAGAGATGGACCCCATTGTGTTGGTAGGCTCCATTTCTATTAGATATGTGGCACACAATGTGATATAAAAATGTGGTAAGTCTAGCATTACCCAAAAAAAAAAAAACAGGTGAAACACAACATCATCAAGGGTAGTCTTGCCAATACTACCCATGCCACCTACAAAGCAAACACCTGGTGAATCAAAGCATAATAAAAATTCTATTTCCTTCATTTTCCTTTTAATTCCAACTAGGCCCTTTAAATCACTTGACAATTCGCGATTCAATTTGGTAAAAAATATCTTCCTCCAAAGCAGCCCTCCAGTTGGCCACCTCATCCATATTGCCCTTAAAACACTTCTTAAGTTGAAGGCCTTTAAGGGCAGTGCTGGTGGCCTATGCCTCATGTGGCGGGAGGAAGTAAATATTTTCATTAAATCTTCCTCTCTCAATCATATTGATGCTGAGTGTGATTTTGGTGACTCGGAAGTAAAGTGGAGACTGACCGGATTCTACGGCTGCCCCCCAAGTGACTGAACGTATTTTCTCTTGGAATATCCTGTCTCTTTTGGGCCAACAACCCTTTGTCAAAGTAATAGTGGAAGAAAATGTTAAATTTTTTGGGAATTTGTTCTAAATTTCCAATTCAAGAGAAGTGTCAAGTGGATTGTACTAGGGGTGGGCATTATTACCGAAAATCCGACCGAATCGACTGAACTAGACCGCTTTAGGTGGTTTGGTTCGGTTTTCATACTTAAAAATAAGGGAGTTTCACTAAAACACCCAAAATGGAGGTTGAAATTATAAAAAAACCCAACACCCAAAACACTTTATAAACACACCCAAAACCCATCATTACACACACTCAAAACCCATTTATAAACACACCCAAAAAGTTGACTTTGGGGTTGATTTTGGGTGTGTTTCTACGTTTAAATAGTGCTTGGGTTTTTTTATAAATACATGTCTAGGATTGGGTTTATTTATAAATTTGTATAAAAATAACATAACCGAAAAAAAAAGGGCCGAACCGGCTTTGAATAGAGTTGGACCAGTTTTTAAACCGGATAGGACCGAATATTTTTATTTTATTTTATTTTTTAAAAGATACACATGTCAACATATTATTCGTTGAGTCTACGCGATTCCATACTCCTTGCTACACCGGATCCGGAGAGAAACCCTAAACATTTCAAGGGTTTCAAAAATTTTTTGGTTCCGCCTCTTTCTTTCTTCGTCGTTCTTCCTCTCAGTCACTCTCTCTCTCTCGCCTTTGCCTCTCTC